GACAGGTCATTTGTATATGATTTATATGTTGTGAAACTAATGCTGATCATTTCGTAAAATCAAATACCCGCTATGTTCAAAAAAGCAAGTAAAATTCAACCATATTGTGAATTTTAAAAGCAAATTACTCAACAGCTAATTGCCAGATTCAGTTAGAAAATGATTTAAAAAAGAAAAGCTTTGTTTGAAAATTTATTTGAGTAAAGTTGATGAATATTTAGTAATATTATAAAAAGTTTTTTGACAACAGTAATTTTCCGGTTTTTTTTTAAAAATTATTCAAGATATTATCATTTATTGATTAAAATAGTGTTCAAAGGAATCGATAAAGTTGACAAAGATTCAACTGTTCTCCAGCCTCCTATGTCTCAAAATCAAATCGGTATAATAATAATCATGGTTTTGAAATTCAGTGCGGGCGTGATGTTACGTTGCAGATATTTCAAAAGAGCAAAACAAAGTATCAAAGAATCTGATTGGTTTCAAAGATTTATAATGATAAAAAAACTTATCAAAGCAGGAGAATTTCCTATTATCTGTTTTAAAAATCAAACCCCCGATGCTAAAAAAATTACTGAATTATTTATTTAATAAAGGAAGTAGATTTATTTTAATTGCCACCAATTCTATTCACAAAATTGAAAAAAATGATCAGACCCTTTCTTTCTCTCTTGTTTAGACGAATTGATGTGGTGAATAAATATTGATCCCAATTTGGCTAAAATTTATGTAGATTGCTCATTTATCAATGCAAAATCTTTTTTCAAATTTAAAATAATGTCTGCAATAAAAAGAATATCAGATAGAGCACTTGCTCAATTGAAAAAAAGATACCAACCAAGTGATTTCCGACCAACTTTTAAAGGTTATAACATGTATGGCAAACCAATTTACAAGAAACCAAAAGTTAGTTTACGAATGTTGAATGTAATGCGAAAGAATTTAGACTATCTACAAAGGGATCCTACCAGTATTGGCTTGCCTATTAAACCCGAGAAACGACCACCTAGACTTAAAAAACCTAAACGTCCTAAATATGAAAGAGATGCTCCTAAAAGGTATTGTTTTGGAGAAAATTTTTTGATGGGGAAAGATTTGATGGATAGGGTGAATTATTTATTATTATTATTATTATTATTATTATTATTATTATAGGCGTCAGAAAATTCAGAAATCGTTAGAAGAAATGCCAAAAGTAATTGAGACCTGGAGAAAGGTAAATTGTACAAAGTTATAAATTTGCATTTTTATGTATGGGGTGTATATTTACATGTAAAAATCATCATCATTGTTATTACTAGGAAAAACGATTAGAAAAAGAAAAGAACAAACCATCACTACCTTTCTAATATATAAATACTATAAATATAATATAAATCTCTCTTCTTTTTTGTTCAAAACAAGCTGCAAACCAATAAACCAATATTACTATTACTATTGTTATTAATACAATTTAATTAATTCATCACTGACATCAGAAGGTGTCAAAACACCAAGATCTGTACACAACAAAGTATACATTCAGGTGGTGTATAATCTACTGTTGGATTAATAACTACAAAATTTTCAATTTCTTTTTCTTCATCTATTTTTTCTACATGGATTTTGTTTTCCAAATCTGGAAATGTTAGTAAATCTGGCATATGAGTTGATAGGTTGTGTTGATTAAGTGGAAATATTCAAACAAATTTATAGCTAGAAAGAGGGAAGGTGGTGAAGAGAAGTAAAGTAAGAAAAGGTTGAGGAAAAGGATAAAGGGAAAAAGAGACAAAATTAATAAAAATACCACAAATAATAAATTTAAATTGTTACCTTTCAATTACTGTATAAAATGGTTTATTAGCAGCTTTGGCTACTATTGCTAATTGTTAAGTGCCAATCTACACCACATAATATCATAATATACATTGATATTTAACATAAATATATTGACACCTATAATAATATAATTAATTATAAAATATTATTTACTGCATTAATTAATCTACAACTCCCTCAGCATCAACAAAAACAGCATTCACTTTATCAATAATATACCCAACGGCTGTGTCAATCATTATATTGCTGGAATACCATACTTTCTCAATATCTTAGTTGTCCTGATTCTAATCAATCAATCAATCATTTATTTATTGGTAATTTAAAATTTCTCCAAGATAAAAAATTATTAATTCGTTTTTTACCCTGAAGAATAAGGCTTAGATTCAGTCACAAACTTTAAATCTTTTTTTGTGCATAGCAGCTCTTTGTAAAAACATCATCACCGCCCAAGAATATCCATCTATTGATAATGATAATAATAATTAGGGATATATACATATATATATATATACATTTGTATGTATGTATGTGAATAATTTGAAATAAATATAAAGTCATTATTTCATTAACGTAGCATGCACATGTAGTAAAATATCATGCAATAAATACAAAACCTTTATTGGATTTTTGGTAATACAGTAATTATTCAAGAAAAAAATTTATATAAGTTAGCCAGATGAGATTTTTAACGGCTGATATCACTAAAATTAATTATGTCTTTACATTATTATTGCTCGCTTTTTTTATCACAATAGAATAGTAGAATATTTCATAGTTATTAAATGTGACATAAATATTAAAGATGGAAAAACTGCTCTTAAACAATTCGAAAACACCAAAAACGATATTGGAATTACAGATATTGAAAAATATTTTGAGGCTCAAATATTTAAAAAATTGCAGTATTCTCTGGTGTCAAAAAGGCTACTTTAG